GTTTTCGGGGTGGTGGTTGTGGTTTTCGGGATGGTGGTTGAAGTAGGGGGTTTTGACGGTGCTGAGGAGCTAAATTCCTTTGCAGGAATTGCAGATGCAAGAGGGTTTTCATCTTTAGCCAATGACAGTGCTTAAATCAAAAGGACAGAGGGGGAGAAACAAAACCATTTCAATGTACACCTCCAAACTTAATGATCTTCTTGCAATAATTGATCAATTCAATTTGGTTTCATTTGTATATCGCCGAATCATAACATACATTATCTCAAGGCACTTCCCATAGTAAGGGTAGTATCGTCATAAGTAATGTAATGGTAAAGTTATGGTTGCTTTTGGCAAATCATTTAGGAGTTTATCCACCTGACAAATGTAAGTGCAGCTTTTATCCCTAGTTTGGTCTCCACCTGCTCATGAAAAACAACACTTGCTTTTTCTTGAAGCTTTCTTGCATAGAACTTTCTGGGCTGTTAAACCAAAGTAATGCGCTAAAACAAGCTGAGAGACAAAATAACTAAGGGGAACTGCACTGTCAATACAATTGAACCTTTTCATATTTAAGATATATGATCCATCAATAATATAACATTGGTCCTTGTAAAGTGCATCTTCAATATTTGTTGACAAAAAATGCAAATGTTTGAACCATGGGTAACAGTCAAACAGTCATTACCAGTCTGACCTACTTTAACTTGACTGCCGTTCATGTTAACGTCAGCTGAAACTGTTATTATCTATGTATATATCAGTTTAAGTACAGTCTACAGGACATTTATGACACTGTTATGGGTTTTTTTCCCCAGTAGACAGCTTATCTGCAGTTCCATGTCCCATTTTTAAGGTCAACATTAAGAGAACAACAACCACAGTGAGACCAGATTCAGAATAATAGCACTTGATTATAACATAACGACTTATTTTAGCGTCATTTATTTCACTCAATTTGCAGCTGAATAACCAAACTCTGGTGTTAGGATAAACAAACTGTTACTGATTCATCCAGTCCTGTCTCTTTCTCTCCAAAAAACAAAAAAAAAAGAGGACCAGGCCTCTTCTGGAAGCAGACATGTGACTCAGACCTGCAACTCCACCGAATGACTGCGGAAATATCCGTTCCCTAAACAATCCAGGAAGTCACACTTGAAAAACATGTCACACCTCATTTATACAATCTATACACTTTTTTTTTTTTTAGATAACCCCACTGCGACAGGAGCAATATTAACAATCAGGCAGCATTAAATCACTTAGAGGGTCCAAGTTCTGAGGGGGAATAAAAGTTTTATTTACAACACATTGCAAGGCACTGGAGCATTTCTCTCTTTTTTCCATAATACCTTAAGTGAATGTTGATAAAAACAAGTTCTTACCTGAGAAGGCACAGCAGGCGACGAACACGAAAACAACTGCTCTGCTCATGGTGACAGGTGTTGGCTGACTGACGGACTGACGGACTGAACGCTTCCGACTGAACTTGTGACACTGTGAAGCAACGGATCCGCAGATGCACGAGTGTCAAGCTTCAAGCTGCAGGCACAGACAACGCCACAGGAAACCCTTTAAAATAAAAGCACGCCCACTGAGCAAAGGAGAAGCAGCGTGCAGGCCACCAGGCAGTGTTGATGGTGGAATGGTTCACAAATAACATTATCTGCATTAAAAAGTAATTTATCTTTGTCTTCTTTACTACTTACCATGTAAACAGTATCAATGAATAATATCTATAGTCTATAAATGAATGTCTCTCATTCAATATTTAGGTATATGTATCAGAATCAGAATCAGAAAAGCTTTTATGCCAAGTAAGTTTACACATACATGGAATTTGTTTTGGTGTTGTTGGTGCATGTCAGACATCTCTAAATATAAGAAGATAAGAAAACCAAGTATTAATATATATACACAGTATGTTTTTGAAGGTAGAATGAAAAAAAAGAAGAGCAGTACACAGCACAGTATATACCACAAACCAAATTCATGTTTTTATTCATTGACTGGAATGATTCAAAATGTTTGGTAATGGGTTTTTCAAATGATTAACTTGTGAGGATCCCCTACTTCATGTCCTACTTTAATCGATTTCTTACTAAATTCAGTCAAATTGTGTTTTAAAAATGAAAATGACACTTCAATCAGCTAAGTGCATATTTTAATGAAAGTGAAAAATTATAGGTAGTACTATTTTTAATCAATTCATGTTTTTTTAATGCAAAATACTCACACATGGGATTTGTCTTCAATGTATCTCATGGATCAAGAGTGGATGGTAATCGGTATATGAGGATTAGATGATTGGAACAGAAGCATTGAGTGAGAATAATGTCTTACTCAAAGTTTTTATACCATAGTCTGGAATGAAGGGGTTATGAGTCGTGTATATTCAGGTTCACCGTGTGCGTTACCGCAGTGAATTTATTTTGAAAGTATTAACCAGAAGCGCTAGTGTTGACTCTTTAGTATTAACGAGTCATGTCGACTTGTCATTACTCAGGAAACGAAACCATTGTGGCAAGAGGGAGAGAGCGTGTTGACTCTGACTGGAGGGAAAAGGTCACATGCTATTTTCCATCAGAATGAAACTGTTACAAGACATATATCTGACTGGAAGTGGCTTTAGTCTTGTAAAATGCTCGTTGCACACTAATAACTGATGTTTGGTAAATTCATGTAACCATTGTATCAACCAACCAAATTTTGTTTCAGTTTTGATTCCTTCACTGTTTTACTCTGCGTTACTTCCATTTTCGTCCACGTGCAAGTTGAAGTTATTCGATCAGAGAACTGTTAGGTTGAAGTATCCATATGAGTAATATCTGTATTTATAGAACACCTTTCTAGTCTTGATGACACCTCAAAGTATTTTCCATCCAAGTAATGCCATTTACCCTTTCACGCAAGTGCGTATATGTGCAGTACTTTCTCACAAACTGGCGGCACAGCTGTTAGGGGCAAATGGGGTTCGGTGTCTTGCGCAAAGACACTTGGCCACGCAGACTGGGGGAGACTGGGATTGAAACCCTGACTCTATGGTTAGTGGATGGCTCACTTTTCCTCGTGAGCCACAGGCAACCCCCCGGAAACATGTAAAATATCTGCTAAAACCATAAGGTACAACTCAACAAATTGCAGAGGTATTAGAAACTGTTTCTGTCTGGAAGCCAAGATATTTAATGTATGCTATGATTCTTTCTCATTGTGTTACTGTATTTACATGTGGGGTCAGGCTGGTGAAACAAACCAGAAGAACTCTTGAGTCCCTGCACAAACAAGCCTTTTTTTATGAAGCTTGTTGAAAAGCCAGCACATTTTCGTATTGTGTCTAGTTTACAAACTTTTGAATGATTTGCCCGTCCTCAATGAAATTACTTCTTCTGTACTCGCTCAGTGAATTCTATTGGATTCTCAAGGTTACCCAAGACTGTGATACACTGTTTCACTGCATTGCATTTGGGAAATCAACTTTTTCTTTAAAATGGCGTTTGAGTGTGAGAGAGCAGTGCAGTGGTGAGTCCAAGCTGGAAAGTTACTGTGGATCTAATTATAATATCAGTGTGTAGTCATGATAAAAATTGTAGTAGTTGTAGTATTTATTATTTCTTTAATATTGAGGTGGTTCACAGTGATTTTGTGTTATTATGACCTTGTTTGACATATGCAGCCTAAAGGAGGAACTTGCATTGTCACAGTCAGGAGTGTCCTCACCTCAACCCTGTGACCAAGTGTATAGCACATGATGTCAGCAGATGTTTTAGATATCAGCAGATGTTTTAGATGACAGCAGATTTTTAGACGTGAGGTCTGAAACCTGCTTTAGTTTGTCCTGTCTGGACTAATGTAAAAAAACATGGCGGCCTCCGTAGAGAGGACCCCCTCCCCATGTAAATATAAGATGAAACACACTAGTGAGAACATCACTAGGATTATTTTATATTCATTAAATAGATCCCTTTCACCTAAATCTAACACACTGAACCTTTAAAAGTCGGTTTATTCAAAATGCATTAACATCACAGTGAAACAGGTTCACATTTTTTGAATTCTGAAAAATGCTGATTCATACCATTACTTTCACAGTTGATGATATCATATGAGAAAACCTCACATTCATGTGGGCCTTTAATCTTGTGGCAGCTATGACGAGAGCTGGTGTGATTCTTAAAAATTTGGTCCCTACAACTCGAAAATTACTGGACAGATTACCACAAAACTTCTTGGAAGGATGGAGATCAGGGAGCGCATCCTGGATCTTTTTTCCAACTTTCTTTAACATTGTGAGATTGCATTTCATTTTTTAATAATTATCAGCGTTTCCCTCGGGGATAATTCATGGATCATGATGGAAAAAAAACAGGTACATTCAGCGAGATGAAACATATGTGTGAAATTTGGTAAAGCTTGATTTAATTTAAGGGGACTGTGTGGCTGGACTCTTAAGTGCGGAGAGTTGCAGGTTCTGACAGTGAGGACGTTTCACCTGTTCATTATTAAGAGTCTAAATCCAGTTGAGGGGGTTTCTTGGTGATCATAAGCACAGATAAAAGACAACAGAGGTTCGTTTCAGGTGGACAAGCAAAGTAAGCAAAAGACAGAGAGGCTGGCTCAAGTGTTTCTAAGGTCATGGTGAACAATGATTTTGCAGCTCAGTGAGACTGGCAGGAGATGGCAGTGAACAACAAGCCACTCCCTGCAAAAATCACATGAGCAAAAAACGCAACATAGGCAGAAAAACCAGGAAGTAAAACAAGAACAGGAAAAACATATTCCCTGACACACTTGGAATTGCTTTACCACTAACAAGCATATTGCATGTCTTGTTCACAAGACCATCTTCATCATGAGAACATAAATTCAGCAATTGTCTCCTCTCAACAAGTTTATGAGATGTAAAAGAAACTGTATCGACATATATATGCATATAATTGCTTGCCCATTTCTTCATTTTATTTAATTAATTTTAATGCCTCAACCATCTCTTATGTGTTCATTTTTTCATCATTCAATTTCATTTTTGTTTTGTTTTATATTTATATAAATCACATCCTCTATTTTTTATTTTTTAGTCATTGATGATGATTGATGGACTATCTAGTATATGTATCTATCTATCTTTTAATTTCCAAACTTTATGGAGTACTTTAATTCTGGGGGGAAGCATAACTCATTTCATAGCAACTCATCTAATATTTAAAGGGATATTCCACTCCACTCTGGACCGACATTGTGAATTTAGACTGAGACACCATGCTAACATGGTTGAAAATGAATTTATATGTTTTTAAAAGTAATGATAAATTAAATGTCCAAAACACCTTAGGACAAATGTAGCTTACATTACACACAAATGACACTGAAAGATAATAGGTATTTATTGTCAACCACATGGATCACCACATCTCTCTCTCATATCAGAAAAAAATGTTGTATGTCTCCGGAGGACAATTCCAAGGCACACATAGCATGTCAGGTAAAAACAAGAAAGAAAACCATGACATGCAATTTACACAAACAGTTAAATATCAGTCAATCAAGGTACACATGAGGTGAATATCTATCCGTCCATCTATCTATCTATCTATCTATCTATCCATCCATCTATCTATCTATCTATCTATCTATCTATCCATCCATCTATCTATCTATCTATCCATCCATCTATCTATCTATCTATCTATCTATCTATCCATCCATCTATCTATCTATCTATCCATCCATCTACCTATCGATCTATCTATCTATCTGTCCATCTATCTATCTATCTATCTATCTATCTATCTATCTATCCACCCATCTATCTATCTATCTATCCGTCCATCTATCTATCTATCTATCCGTCCATCTATCTATCTAACTATCTATCCCTCTGTCTATGTATCTATCTATCCATCCCTCTATCTATCTATCTGTCCATCTATTTATCTATCCATCTATCTATCTATCCATCCCTCTATCTATCTATCTATCTGTCCATCTATCTATCTATCTATCTATCTATCTATCTATTTATCCATCCCTCTATCTATCTATCTATCTGTCCATCTATCTATCCCTCTATCTATCTATCTATCTGTCCATCTATCTATCCCTCTATCTATCGATCATCTATCTATCGATCCATCTATCACTGTGTTTCGGACCGCCCCATTGGTTCAATTTCCCGGGAAAACTCTATGATAATGAGGTCGCTCTCCACCAATCCCCAGCGCTGCAAATCCTCCCGGCCCCGCCTCCGCTGACGCCAGATAAGAGGAAACTGTAAGATGCCATAAAAGGGAAACGGCGGCGCATGCGCAGCGGCCGGAGTTTTGTTTGAAGTGAACTGCCCTACAAGCTGCAAAGTCGCCAAGCATTAGATCGCAACTGTATTCCCACACATCTCCTCCGGATTCGACTCGGCAGCTCTATGCATCGCAGGGGCGATGTTAGGCCACCACTACCCGAACACCGACAAGTCGCAACAACTGGTCAACTATGTGGAGGATTATCTGGA